ACGGGCACGGCGGCGCGTTGAGTTGAGCTCCGCCGCCATGTGCGCGAACGCTCCCATCTGTTCGGCTGATGGGAAGGGTTGCGGGTCGCGTCGGACCCCGGAGTTTGCACTCGCGGGTCGACCCGCAACGTCCATGGCGGGGGAATCGATGCGCGCCTCTTCGACCAGTACCAAACGGGACTGTAGCTGGTCGACGAGAGCGCGCAGGTTCTCCAAGGACTGAGTTACGCGCTCAAACCTTCCTTCGCGGAGGGAGCGCAACTCATCCATACAGCGAGCGTAGACGCTGTCGGAGACGTCGATACGGAGGGATGTTCGGACATCTTCGATATACTCCGCGATGCGATCGTACATCGCGCGAGCGCGTCCTTCGGAGAAGTCGGGCGACGGTTCGCGGTCTCGGGGACCAGCGTCGCCGTCGCCGACTCGGACGCGGAGCGCGGCCTCTTGCACATCGGCGGGCTCCGAGCGAATCGAGGTAGGATATTCGCCACTCATCTCGACGCGTACGGACGCGGAGGTAAACGACAGTCTTCTCGGTTCGATCGTGAGAGTCTTCTAGGTCGGGAGACCACTGTAGTATAATCACCCCCAACGACGAGGGGGGTGAGTACTGACAGTTCGGAAAGACCCCGATCGGCGGGAAGACAGAAGCACGGCCCACCCACGGTACCGAGCACAGGCTCGAGGTAGCGGTGGTAGAGCGGGATCGGGGAGGACGCGCGCACGCGCGAGCGGTTCTACGCCTCGACGCCCCGGAGCGGTACTGGGTGACGTTCCAGTACCGACGGGCGGAGGCGGAGCCGGCTCGTGGGCGTGCTACGCGCGTCCTCAACCCGCGCGCGGTGCTGCTTCTAGGTAAAACGGACGGAAGTACCTAAAAGTAAGCGGGCGGACCAAGGTGGAGGATCCTTGACAAGTCCGTGCTTGTCCCCCCTCCACCGCCGGCGGTCCGCTCATATTTAATGTACACAATTACCTATCATAACACTACAGTACCGATGTACTGTAGTGTGCTACCGTAGTGCAGGTCGGCCTGCACTGTAATACTGTCAGCCGTCGGGACTGACACTACACGTGTGCGCGCGCGCCCGTACACGTGGGGTACACGTGTGCGCGCGGGCTGAGGTACTGTAGAGCTCGGGCTCTACAGCTGCAAATCTAATCTAAATCTAATTCCGGGAGGGGGATATGCCACAGAACGTAGCACCGCCGCACCGAGAGAAGGCAAGGACAAACCGAAAAGTACATAACGAAAACGGGCCATGAGTTATGATTCAGATGACGAAGCTCGTTGCGCCCTTTCCGAGCACATGTCTGAGCAGCGTGATGTCGATCATAAGCGTTTAAAAATGGAAGAACGCAAACTGGAATACGAAATATCAAAAGAAGAGCGTGCAGGAGAGCGCTTGAAGGTTGCGCAAGACCACGAGGCTCCCCGAATCGCCGTGGAAGAGAAGCGGATGGAACTGGAGCAGCGCCGCCTGGAAATAGAGCGAGAGGAACGAAGGGGCGCAATACAGGAAAGAACTCAAACGATGGCTGTGCTTAGTGCATTGGCAAAAAAACTGGAGTAGAAGGATTTTTTTTGCCTTGACAGATAGATGTCTAATGTTGGAGGTTTACACAAAAAGTACAAGCTCACCTGCCCACTAGACTGGTGCATACAAGCCCGCACATTCCAAAGTAAAGCTGCAGTTTTGTAAAGCAATGCCACTGGTGACTGTCGCACTTTAAGCATACGTTTAAAATCCTGTGACGCCCACATTTGCTTTAGATCCTTGTATGTCCATTCGACAGCTTCACGAACAGAACTCATCCCTTGGTTGTAGAGCAGTTGGTCCGCCGTTGCGCCTTGTGTTCGAAAAGAAACCTGAAGCCACGGCCTCAGCACGTATGCTGCATCTCCATAAAGACAGTACTGCCTATCTTGCAGCAAGAGATTTTATTCGAGCTGCTCATTTAAACCGCTTTGACGAAAAAGGGTCATGTCATGACGACGCCCAACCTCAGGCCCAAACATATGAAACATGAGTCCAGCGGGCGTCGTCACTGTCTGATACACCAAGCAGTGAAATCTTTTATGTCCTGAATAGCAGGAGCGCTGGAAAGCACTTTCTCCACCCGGTCTGCTCATTTGAATTTTCGTGCAGTCAATAAACCCCACGCAGTTATCCAGTGGTGCTTCTCTTCTCTCAACAGCTTCAGCGTAAATATGTGCTCTTTGCAACATAAGATCAGTTCTGAAAGTCTCTACGAGATGGCCGCGTTCTTCAATAAATTCCACAACTACTTCCCAAAATACTTCACACAGCGCAGAAGACCGCATTCCAAAAGTTGTCTCTAGATCTCTCCATCGGGTCGGAAATGACATTCGCTTGAGCAAAATACAAGTGGCAGTTATGCTATCGCATCGGTAGCGATTGCGAGTTGGAATCCAGCTCCAAGATATGATATCTCGTACCCTGCCCGGATCCAATTTCTAATCTAATTCTTTTGTAGTTATACTGCACCACCCCCCCTCAAGCGTGGACGTCCGCGTCCACATGTGCTTGCTCGTAGGCCGATAACATTGATATCGTGTTATGCCCGTCGAACAGAATGTTGCAGCTTAAGGACGAGAGCAGTTGGAGCACGGCTTTGTAGCCCAAGGAGAAGACGCGTACGCCGGGCTCGGAGGCGACGTCTGGAATGGCCGATGGCATAGTCTTTCAGACGCATCCCCGAAGAAGATGTGGTCGATAGGAGGGGAGCGGCAAAGGGGTTACGATTATGCTCATGCTTCACTCATTTGTGAATTGCGTAAACCGAGTTCGGCGATAAGATGAACGAATTTCTGTAATTTTTTGTGACCCATTTTTGATCGGATAGCCATGTCATTTCTCTTTGCGTAAACTCTCTATTGCCAAACATGTGAGTTATGGTACAGAGGGCCCTACTCATTAGTGCCGCCCCGTGTAAGACCCCAAAAATTGGCGCTATTGGGAGACGGCATTATTAGGTGACGTCGTCACATCTATTTTCATGCATTCGGTAATTAACGTCTGCCTGCTCCACGTTGGGTCTCTGTCCTGTTTCGCAGTGAGAAACGCGCGCTTTGCGGACCTTAGATACGATAGAGCGTCTGAAACTTGACATTCAGTAGCCAAATCTTCCAGCTCTCCAAACAATTCCGTAATCTCGACGACAGAGGGGACAGTCCTTCGCTCTCTCGCGTCCTCTGCGCTCCCATCTTCATCACTTGATTGCGCTGTAGTTGTGTTCGTCACACCCTGAACTGACTCAAAAACGTTCATGGCATCATTAACAAACGCCTCTACCACACTTTTGTCGGACTCAATATTTACCCACCGTTCCACATGAGAAATTCGAGCTGCTTAACCTCCAGATTTGGGACCCATACGGCCTGACGGGTCTTCAATTGCAGTGATTTGGGCTTCTTGTTGGCTACGTGGAGGAGCAGTTGCTCTGATATTTCGCACGGTGCGCCCTGCGATGCCGAACTGCCGCTCAATTGCTTCGGTACAGTGTCCCTTTTCGAGCAGATCTGCAATGTCTAGCCTCTGCGCTATTGTCAGGCGCTTGCGCGTTGCGATTTTTATTTCCGGAACCGGATCCATAAGGAGGACAAGCTAAGGTCTGTGAACGCTGTTCGGCGAATGGAATGCCGCCTTCACTATGTTTTCGCGCGCGACAGACGGACGGCTGCATAACACCTGGACCCGTATGACACGTGGCACTTTTCGTGTTCGTACGTCTGGCCGGCATTAATGGGAGGGTGGCATTAGCAAATGTGGCACTAATGAGAGTCCCCCTTGTAAAGGTTTAGCGCACTGGTTGGCCGTGAACAGGGTACTGTAATGTGACCATGGTACATGACCAACCTTAGTCGCACTGTACTACCCCACCCCCAGCGCCTACGTACAGGGGGGGTCGCTCAATAGTGCCTACTTTAGTAGTGCTTCCCTCTATATAGTGCTATGGCTCACCCTCTGGCACAGGTTATCATACGCTCACACGTGTATCATCCGGCATGGTTCAGTACTCAAAGGATGAAGTTATTTAGTTGTGTTATACAGGCTTTGTTGTGTTTGTGTTAGCAGTGTGCTTTGTCCCCAAATATATGTATTTGAGCCTCCTGTCTATAGTGCCATCCCCCCAATAGTGCCATAGCTAGAGGTATGTCACGCTATAGCACTATATCGTAGGAGGCACTGTACTAGAATATCCGCACTCGAGGCCGGTGGACAACCCACACTTATCTACTCCCACGAGCCCCCCCCTCCGTGTTTGCCTCCCGGCAGACTCTCCTGTGCGGCGTGATACGCCAGCCCGTTCCCACGCTCTAAGATACTTGTAGACTCGAGAGAGTTGCTGCAGCGCTTGTTTTCGACCAGGACAACGCAACAATTCCTCGCATCGTCACTTATTATGAACTATTTCATCTTTGGACCACACGTTACTTGTTGGGGCTTCGGCGCATCTACGAACGTCCCCTTCCTTGCCTACACTGACGATTTCCTCCAGAGCCTTCCTTCTCTCTCCACAGCCAGCAGTCGCTCCCGTAAAGCCCATCTACCCCACCTTGACCGTGTTCTTTCTCGCAAGTATCCCTTCACTTCACGGTACACGATTGACAAAGACGAGTCATTACAGTGAGCTCTCGTCTCTGCAAGTAAACACACCCAGACTTTCACATCAAAACCTCCTAGATTCTTTCCAAGTCACTCGCACACCTCGCTTTCTTTGCCAATATGGCCTTCGACGATCTCGCTGACAACACCATCATCGTCCTGTTGGCCTACACCGCCGCCTTCCTCCCGTGGACTGCTCTCACCACCTTTGACTTTATCTCTGCCAAATGGCGCAGGGTACGTGACGTTCGTATCGCCGGCTACGTCAACCTTGTTCTCGCGCTAGTCCCGGCAATCTACATACTGTTTTACATGGTCGTGCAATCCAATGTCGATCAAAAGGAGATGTTCACTGCGCTGGTCGCTATGCTGTTTGCGTTGCTGCACGTTGTGCGGACGTTATGGGGACTGTGGCAGTTGCAGCTATTTGTCAAGTGGGCTGTCAAGAGCATTAAGTCGTTGCGGGCCCTTGGGATTGAATATGAGCTCAACACGGGCGCCCGTACTGGCTATGATGGGAAGAAGCAAACCCAGAATGGCGAAGAAAGAGAACAGGAAACCACGAATATCGGTACTACGCAGGAGCCCGGAAATACCGACGACAAGGAAAAAGTGCACTCTGTGGCTGAAATTGTAGATGAACTATGGGTGAGCGATGAACTGATTGAGAACCGTGTGTCCCATGGGAATGCTCGGTGCTACATAGTGTTTGACAAGATTGAGTTTAGAATAGATCCAAAGAGAAGAAACGTGTTTCGTCAACGAATCGTGCTTCTGTTACAGGCGCTCTCGATACCATTTCGGTATGTGTATGGAATAGTGCAGAAATGGCTTGGGAATGGGTCTATACCCTGCTTTGTCCAGGTACCGCACGAGCCAGAGGATGTGTGGCTGCGATGGTGCGTGGCGTTTGCGGCGCAGGGGTTGAACAAGTGGATAACGGAGTTCACCGTTGCGCCGGAAGTCGATGATGAGGATGGGGCGATAAATAACTTGGAGCGGTACGAAAGACGACGAGAACACCTGGCTGGGCGCGTGCTGGCGACGGCCGGAATACAATTGTGGCTGGGGAGTTGTTTGCCGCTGGGTGAAGGCAAGTCGCTTTTGTCAAAAGAGGACTTGTTGCGACGAGCGATGACGAGTGGACGTGGAATGCCGTTCGATGCAGTGCAGAGGAATGCAGTCTTGCGGCCTGGAAAGGGGTACAAGGCCTATGAGAGAAAACTAAATCGATTCATTGGTGGAATTCCGGTGGAGTTTGAAGAACAAGTGGAAGAGTTGGACATCGAGAGAGTGGAGTGGCTTGCGATTTTGCTGTACATAGGAGAAGAACAGATTGGCAACGGAAGTGCGAGCAGAGATTCTCGTAGATCTGAGGAGTATGAGAAACTGGAGCATGACGATTTAGCGATTGAAAATATGCGAGCACAGCTGGGTATGGACAACAGAACTTCAGGAGTGGATGCAGCGGAAAGAAGGAATGCTAGCATATGCGGATTTCCGATGCCAGAACGATACTTTCATGAAGTATCCAAGGAGAATAGACTGGTGACCAAGGTCGGGGAGCTTGTCGACTGCTGGTTAGCGCTTATGGCGGGAGTGCAAATGCAATTCCTGGTGAGTAAAGACGAAGAATGGCTAGGACGTTGTCTGGGTCAAGTCGAACATGACCAAGAGACTGTGGTGAGCGTAGAAGGCGTGGAGATGGGAGGGATGGAAAAGAGGGGGAGCAGCCTCTTCATGAGACATGTTCGAATTGAAGAAGCGATGCAAGCATTCCAGTTTGGAGTCGTGGGTCAAGAGTTTGAGCAGTTGGAGCAGACATTGACGTTTATGGGATATTCGCTGGAGAGCGTGCGTACGAGACTGGGAAGGTGGGTGAAAGCGAACACGGACTCGCAGAGTGGGGCGTGGAGGCCTTTGATGTTTCAAGCGGGGGAGTTGATATCGGGGTGGACAGAGGTTGGGCGTGTATCGAATGATGTGTCACGTACCCTGCGGCAGAGAGAAGGGAATGCAGTACTGAGGGATCGGGCGGTGCAGTGTCGTGTAGTGTGGGAGTTGCAATGTGTTTTGAGGGAAAGGGTATCGGGAATGGAAGGGAGCCCGAGCAGTATGGAAGCGGTGGCGCTTTGCATGGTCAGTTTTCCGTCGCTGGTTGTGATGAATACAGAAGAAGCGAGCGAGGAAATCAGTGACACAAATGTCCGGTCAAGCGAGGCAGGGGGGGTGGCAATCTCGGAAAATCGAGATAGTGTGTCAGTATCATTCGGGAATGAGCAAAGAGGTAGGGATGCGGAAGAAGAGAGGAAGAAACGGAGCGAAGAAATGTTTGTGATAGTGCCGATTTGTGGGCCTCAGAGAATGAGGCTTCAGGTACAAGTGGGCGACGATGACGATTGGAGCAATAGAAGTGGAGCGGGCGATAGAGGATGCAAAGTGAGAGTACGGTTGTGCCGGGGGGCGACATCGCGAGATGAGCGGTTTGAGTGGGGATGGTGGCGGGAGGCGGCGTTGGGACGTATGGAGGGATTGAGGCGATGGCAGAAGAATCATGGTATGTGTTCGCCAGACTTGCATGCCGGGCACCGGAATATGACGTCAGGCATCGTGTGTGTAAAGCCAAGAGCACACAAAACGGGGACAGAGGTTGAGATGTGGTCGGGATGGGAACCGTTTCGAAGCCAGCAATGCAGATTTGAGCTAGAAGGGGACAAAGTTCTTGCGAAATTTGAAGTGAGCATGCGACACGGTGATCTCGTTGTTACAAAGAAAAACATTACGACATCCCACACCCAAGCCGTCGGGGAGAGAAGCTTCACGGTGTACGAAGACAATGACCGCGAGGCCTTACAAGACGGATGTTTGATAGTAGGAGAAGCACTGGATGATAAGTCGCCAGGTTGCTTGAGCTCAGTCAGGGCTGGAGCATATGAAGATGAAGAGTTTGCGAAGAACCTGCCAGCAAAAGGCGAAAACGTTATTGGGGAAGAGTTGGGCCAGGTCCGAAGAGACATTTTTCTGTTGAAGGTTGCTGCACTGGAGCATGGTGATATGAACGCGTTGCAGAGATGCGTGAAGCTCCTCACCGACTCGAGTGAGGAGATGACAGAACACATGATATTGACGAACAGGCGACGAGCTGGAGAATTGGTGCTAGCTTTTTTCCACAGTGTTTTTGTGAGCAGAACGGGGAGTTGCGGGGTCAAGGGTGGTGGAAGAGAGTTTGAAGCGTTGTTTTCATTATTGCAGGAGCTTGTGGAGAAATCGGCTTTTGACAACTATGTCGTGGATGTGGTTCTGGATTTTCTGAAATGCGCAGTAGATCTGAGTATACCTGAGGATGTACGAAGCTGCCTCGTATGGATGCGAAGGTTGATAGCAAGATCACTGAGATTGGATCAGTTGGATTGTCTTTGTCGTAGTTTTGAAGAAATAATTGGAGCGGAACGAGGGCAAGGAGTGGCTATCCGTCGGAAGCAGTTGTTCTTCACGGACAGTGAGGTGACCGAGTACGACGTGCGTACTGTTAACATTTTGGAAAAGGCTCTTCTGGAACGCCAGATTGAGGAGCATGATGATGTCGAGGCGATGAACAATCTAGGAGTGATGGTGGAGGAGGGCGCAGAAGGAGTAGAAGCCGATGCGGTACGCGCAATGGAGCTTTATGAGCTTGCAATATCGAAAGGCGATGACGGCTCTGCGATGTACAACCTAGGTTGTTTGTTGGAGAAGGGAGGGGAGGGGGTCGAGAAGGATGCGGTACGAGCCAAGGAGTTGTTCGAGCGTGCAATCAATGAGCATGGTCATGTCGGGGCGATGAACAATCTAGGACTGATGGTGAAGGAGGGTGCAGACGGAGAAGAAGCCGATGCGGTACGCGCAATGGAGCTTTATGAGCTTGCAATATCGAAAGGCAATAACTGCTCTGCGATGTACAACCTAGGTTGTTTGTTGGAGAAGGGAGGGGAGGGGGTCGAGAAGGATGCGGTACGAGCCAAGGAGTTGTTCGAGCGTGCAATCAATGAGCATGATGATGTCCGGGCGATGAACAGTCTAGGACTGATGGTGGAAGAGGGCGCAGAAGGAGTAGAAGCCGATGCGGTACGCGCAATGGAGCTTTATGAGCTTGCAATATCGAAAGGCAATAACTGCTCTGCGATGTACAACCTAGGTTGTTTGTTGGAGAAGGGAGGGGAGGGGGTCGAGAAGGATGCGGTACGAGCCAAGGAGTTGTTCGAGCGTGCAATCAATGAGCATGGTAATGTCGAGGCGATGAACAATCTAGGATTGATGCTGCAGAAGGGCGCAGAAGGAGTAGAAGCGGATGCGGTACGCGCAATGGAGCTTTATGAGCTTGCAATATCGAAAGGCGATGACGGCTATGCGATGTACAACCTAGGTTGTTTGTTGGAGAAGGGAGGGGAGGGGATCGAGAAGGATGCGGTACGAGCCAAGGAGTTGTTCGAGCGTGCAATCAATGAGCATGGTAATGTCGAGGCGATGAACAATCTAGGATTTATGCTGCAGAAGGGCGCAGAAGGAGTAGAAGCGGATGCGGTACGCGCAATGGAGCTTTATGAGCTTGCAATATCAAAACGCACTAACTGCTCTGCGATGTACAACCTAGGTTGTTTGTTGGAGACCGGAGGGGAGGGGATCGAGAAGGATGCGGTACGAGCCAAGGAGTTGTTCGAGCGTGCAATCAATGAGCATGGTAATGTCGAGGCGATGAACAATCTAGGACTTATGCTGCAGAAGGGCGCAGAAGGAGTAGAAGCGGATGCGGTACGCGCAATGGAGCTTTATGAGCTTGCAATATCAAAACGCACTAACTGCTCTGCGATGTACAACCTAGGTTGTTTGTTGGAGACCGGAGGGGAGGGGGTCGAGAAGGATGCAGTACAAGCCAAGGAGTTGTTCGAGCGTGCAATCAATGAGCATGGTTTTGTCCCGGCGATGAACAAGCTAGGACTGATGCTGCATAAGGGCGCAGAAGGAGTAGAAGCGGATGCGGTACGCGCAATGGAGCTTTATGAGCTTGCAATATCGAAAGGCAGAAACGGCATTGCGATGCACAACCTAGGTTGTTTGTTGGAGACCGGAGGGGAGGGGGTCGAGAAGGATGCGGTACGAGCCAAGGAGTTGTTCGAGCGTGCAATCAATGAGCATGATGATGTCCGGGCGATGAACAAGCTAGGAATGATGGTGGAGGAGGGCGCAGAAGGAGTAGAAGCCGATGCGGTACGCGCAATGGAGCTTTATGAGCTTGCAATATCAAAAGGCACAAACTGCTCTGCGATGTACAACCTAGGTTGTTTGTTGAAGAAGGGAGGGGAGGGGGTCGAGAAGGATGCGGTACGAGCCAAGGAGTTGTTCGAGGGTGCAATCAATGAGCATGGTCATGTCCCGGCGATGAACAAGCTAGGACTGATGGTGGAGGAGGGCGCAGAAGGAGTAGAAGCCGATGCGGTACGCGCAATGGAGCTTTATGAGCTTGCAATATCGAAAGGCAATAACTGCTCTGCGATGTACAACCTAGGTTGTTTGTTGGAGAAGGGAGGGGAGGGGGTCGAGAAGGATGCGGTACGAGCCAAGGAGTTGTTCGAGCGTGCAATCAATGAGCATGATGATGTCGACGCGATGAACAATCTAGGACTGATGGTGAAGGAGGGCGCAGAAGGAGTAGAAGCCGATGCGGTACGCGCAATGGAGCTTTATGAGCTTGCAATATCGAAAGGCAGGAACGGCATGGCGATGTACAATCTTGGTATCTTGCTGAGAGACGGGGCGGAGGGTTTGGATTGCAATTTAGTGCGCGCGGCTGAGCTGTTTGAGATGGCCATTGAAGAGAGCAACGATACAGACGCAATGGTGGAACTCGGAAATCTGTTACGCGATGGAGCGGAAGGAGTCGAGCGGGATACAGATCGTGCATGCAGATTGTACGAGAGGGCCATCGAAGAGGACAACCATTCCAAGGCTGTAGAGAATCTTGCTGCGCTGCGCGATGCTGAGATGAATGAGGTTACAGAAGACGGAGATTGAACGATTTCAGAAGTCAGCAAGAGCACTCCCGAACGGAGATGGCGGGTGCCGTCGGGGAGAGCAGAAGGGAAAACCCGAGGCTCAAGGCGAGTAGAGTTCCCTTCGTTAAGACCCCTGTGGAAGATGGGACAAAGACGTGGTTCCTACCGTCCGGTAGCGACGGATAGATCGCCTATGCCGAGTTCAACCCCTTTATCGGGACAATGAACTCGGAGGCAGCGGCCGGGGCGCTAGTGTCTAGACGACCGTCAATTTGACCTCATATGAGGCTAGCTTTTTTTCAAAAATATATAAATTAAATCGAAACTTTAAAAAGTCAGTTTGGACACCATTTCTTTAACGTATACGCCCTCGGCAATAACATCTTGCAAACGTTGGGATGGCGGTTGTCAATGCACAGAGAGACTAATGAGAATGTAATGAACTAAGAATCTAATGAAGTTTCAATGATCAGTTGACTTTTTAAACAGGCGTTTTGGTTTCGAAGATATCAACATAAAACGTTTTGAGGTTGGTCAAAAAGGCTCCCTTTTTGGGCATTTTAAAAATGGCTGGAAAAGACGTGCAGATCTCACCAAACTCCATCCTTCCGCAACGCAGAAGTCAACTGCGGTGGCGAGAGTATCTTTTTCCATCTTGTTGAGTTCGCGCAAGTCGAGAAAAAATAAGTTGAAAAGTGACCTCATATGAGTTCATTTGTCACCTAGACACTAGAGGGCGCCCGCCTCAGGCTGCACCCGGAACGGAGAACGGAATCAGGACTTGTCGAGGTGGCGCAACGGAGGAGTCCTTTTGCTCTCGCCCCGTCGCCGCTTTAGCTTTCAACACTCATTTGACCTGTTGTGGTTGGTCGCTGGTGCCATCCACGGGCATCCCCGACTACCCCGAACCGGTTGAGCAGCTTCGTTAGGTCGTGCCGTCTTTCGCCTTAGTACTGTCCTGCGCTTCCACCCCCGCCCCCACTCGGGTTACACGCACGCACTAGTATTATGTGTAATGCGCAAGAACTTGACAAGTAGGGTTGACGACTCAAGCTCTGAGAGCGAGGCGCAAGATGCGAGAACTTGACAACTTGAACGGATCGCTTCGTATCTATGTTTTATTTTCATTGTGCACGTAGTACAATGAGGTATCCCTCTCCAGATTGTGCGAGACCCTGTATGCCGGCGATCGTGTCAGAGAGCGGAAGAGTGGGAGACCGCGCGCTCCGATTGCGATCCGAGCAGTCGGTCTTCTTCCTTTCTGGCCTTGCCAAGGATATCGAAAAGACTGCCTTTTGCACTTCTATGCGGCAATGGCTAGAGGAACCTCATCCCCACCAACTACGTCCTCTTCCAGCGATCGCCACCGATATCCCCTCTTGTTACACCCGAACCAGTCATGTTTGTCAGCCACAGCAATCAAGAAATAATCAAACTTTACGTTCAAAAGTGTTTTTACACGGATGACGGCACGGCAACGCGTATCTTGTTGTACCACGCCTCGCAATGCTGTTCACGAAATGCAGCGGCGGCTGTCCACACCCGCCGCTGCCAGTTAAACTTTATCTCTCGAATAAATTAGCTGTCCACATGGTGCAACTCTGTCGACCAAATGCGGCTTTGGGTTGATGCGCGTTCTCGTCGTCACGGGACGAGAGGATTGCTCAAGAGAGCGGCGCAAAGGTAAGTTGCAACAATCAACACAAACAACTCTATTCGATAGTACCTACTCGTTCTCCCCTGTCTTCTGGCGACACCGAACTGCCTTCTTGAAGCAGACGAGTAGAGCTGTCGGTCGTGTTCGTTTGCAGCCAAAACAGCATCCAGCATCAGGCCCTTGACCTTTCGCAAGTCCACCTCTTGCTCCTTCAGAGGCGATCTTCGTTCCCAATATTCATCACTGTTTTGATGCATTTACATCGAAGGGGTTGATAATTGCAGTGCGGTATTGAAGGGTCCTCTTCCCAAAACAGATCTACGGGCTGGGTTTTGTTAGAACTGGCTCAACTCTAATGGGTTATTGCACAAGCTCACCACACACTCGGTGCCTCATAACCCCGACAAGCAACTGCCGCATCTCTGCAGTATTCTGTGCAAAAACATTCTCCCTCGATACGGAAAGGCATGGTGTCTATATTTCTTTACGTCCGATCTGGGCACCATGAATCGAAACAGATTGCTTCGTCGTCAAGAAGAGGGGTCACAACTGGACTTTCTCCAGTCTACTTTTCGAAGAGCGACTGAGCCGCAAGCACTTGACACTCATCGCAGCGACACACTGTTTATTTCTGAAAACGGACTAGTAAGACCGAAAGCTTGATACGCTGGCGCGATGTCGACATGACGACCCAAACTACCTTGGCATTGCGTCAAAACTATGCACTGATGATCCTTCACGATCTTACGAAAAAGCAACAAAACACCCCCAGTCTGACATGGTCACGAGCGTCTGGCTCATTTCCACATGATATTTCAACCATGGCCTGTTTCCTACGAGAGATTACGCCTTGATCTTCTTGATCGCCGCAATGATATCCGCAGGCTCCGCGCGCTTGCTGTAATTGACATCAGCAAACGTATAGATGACCTTGCCTTCCTTGTCGAGAACAATGGTAGCCGGAGCCGGAAGCATGGCCTTCCTGACGCCCTTGTTCCCGTTCATCTCATCGAGGTGGATTCCAAAGCCGCCATAGATCTCCTTGACGTCATCACCGACGGTGAACGCGACGCCCAACTTGCCTGCGACGACAAGCCCCTCATCGGAGAGGACCTCGTACGGGATCTCGTTCTTCTCCTTGGTGGTGAGACTCTCGTCGGGCGTCTCCGGGCTGAGAGCGACCAGGGTAGCGCCGAGGGCCTTGATCTCATCGACGGACTTGGCGAGGGCCCTCAGGGCAAGGTTGCAGTACGGGCACCAGCTACCGCGGTAGTAGGTCAGGACGACGGCGGTGCTGCTGCTGAGCAGCGAGTCGAGCGACACGGTCTCGCCCTTGGCGTTGGGCAGCGAGAACGACTCGACCTTGGTGCCCAGCGACGGCGGGGTCGGGGTGAAGCGGGCCGCGAGCGCGGCGGACGAGGCGTCGATGGCGCTGATCATCTCGGGCGGGGTCTTGGAGCGGAACGATTGCTCGAAGGCAGCGAGTTCGGTGGCCAGGGGGCCTGCGGCGTCGGTGGGCATGTTGAGAGGTTGGTCGGGGGAGGCGGAGGGTGAGGGTGAGGTGCGGGCGGAGGCGGTGAGGATGCGGGACGGGGTGGGGTGGCGAGGGAGCTGTGGGGATGAGAAGATGCGAGTGTGCAAGTGGGCGGCGTGGTGCGTGGGTTTATATAGGGTCGGGAGGAAGGAGGACGCGAAGGAGAGAGGTGGCGCGCAGGTCATTGTTTCTACGGAAAGGCATCTCGACGGATCCAGGGAGCGAGTCGGGCATGGAGTTTGAGCATAAAAGGGGAAGGAGAAGCGTAGAAAAGGAATTGGTCAGTCTCGTCTGACACAGACGCCAACAACAGTGATCTGCGTGTACTGCCGCAAACATCAGACACGTACTACGCGCTGGGCGCATTAAACTAATCCGAGGAACTTCTGATATGGCAATACAATTAGTAATTTCTTTTTCACATATGTAGTTACATGGCTCGAAGGGTCTGGATTCCGTGCCTGTTAAATTAATTATATTAATCTTTATATAGTTTTGCAAAATACAGTACTGTTGCGGAACGGCACGTGGATACGTGTAAAACTGGACTGCGAACCGAAATGTGGATACGCACCACCTGGGTAGGGAACCGAAACGCAAGAGTCCGACAGGAGCGGGGGAAGAGGGGGTGTAGTCGACGCCACCGGAGCGTGGCGAAAGGAAAGGGGATGATGTGAGGCGGCGGTGGAGAGACAGGGACGATGGACGAGGAAGCAAGGGAGACAGGGATAGAGAGCTTCTCGCAGGGAGTAGAGAGTACTTAAGCACGCCTTCCGGAAGATAGAAGGGGGGGAGGCAGCGAACAGTCAGGAAGTAAAGAGTTTGGGTGGATGCCCTCATTGAACTGGTCGCGAGTGCCACGCGGTTGGGATAACCGCAACATTACAAGCTTGTAAGTGATCGCGGCACAAGTCGATCCGACTGCCAGCGATTGGCAGAGGCAAGGAACAAGGGGCGAATCACTGTGATGAATCAGTCCACCGAAAGAGACCATGACGATTATCACGGACGTTCTGGTGAGGCGGGTCAGAGCGAGAGTGCTCTGCCGTCATCAAGCCCTGTGACTGCAGCCAGTGGAGGCCTCGGTATGATACCGACACCTGTTACGATAAGGTCTCGGAACACAGACGCGTCCCAACTTCGTGAGGGGCAGCGTAGTTCTGAGGATATGGCATTGTTAAGGACGCCCACAAATGGGTCAGGAGTCGCTCAAGCGCTTTCCGGGATGAAAGAGGCGGTAGAAGCGATGATAGAGTCAATGGCACGAACTACGCAAACTGTCATACTGATAGGCGACGTTGTATCGAGAGCGTCGACTTCTCTAGAGAACCTACCGGAAAGAATGTCCGAGGTGGTGCGGTCTGCTGTCCTCGAACGGGGAAATCTGGATGAAGCACAAGCGTCGGGCACCCTCAGGGAGCAAGATTTGGCGGACGAACTCAACTCTGTGAAAGCGCGTGTTGTGGGCTCCAGTCATGCACAGGAGCTGCAAAATGATGCTAGTGCACAGCCGGATGTATACTCCCTTCACACAGCGTATCGGATTTACAGTAAGTCTATGGAGCCGGTCAAGGTCAGCAAGCCGGGCGACGCGAAGTTTTTCGCTGCTCGTAAGGCTTGGACACGGCTCTGTAAGGACTTCCCCATTCGAGAGGGATGCCACCGCCGCCTACTAGCATGTGCTTTCTGTGGAACGGCCTTGGCCATTTTCGAAGACGTCGCATCATCGCACCTCGATGCCAACGCCGACGATCTCTGGGAGATACTGCGAGGGCGCCTATGCAACAGCAGTCACCAGAGAAGTTTAAGGATTGCGTTTGACACGATGGAGTGGGACGAAGGGCGGGAAACCGTTGGGCAGTTCGCGCAACGATTGCGCACGGCCGCAGTGGCCCTCCCAGACACAGTCTCGGACGAGAGGCTTCTGGACCGTTTTACTCAGTCCTTAAGCGGACGGCTTCGTGACCACGCTCTGGCAGTGCAGGGAACATTTGACGAAGTGACGAGCCGGGTTGCGATGATGGGTACAAGAAGGGCAGGCAGCAGTCGGGAATCCAAATTCCGGCCAGAGCGCGTAGCTGTACTCAGCGATGAAGTAACTACAGCAAACGAGAAGCCCCAATCACGTTCGAATTCCGCACCGTGCGCCAACGCGATGGAGGACCGTTTTGCGACGGCCATATGCTACTACTGTGGCATCAAGGGCCACCTCGCGCGTTCTTGCGATAAGAAGCGCCGCGACAAGTCACAGAAAGCCACGTCCAACGCGGGGGAAGGGGGAGAGGAGGGGAAAGCGGCCGGCACCCCTCTAGCCAAGCAGAACTAGCGGCCGACCAGGCCCCCGCGACAAGCTCAGAAGAGCGCTTGTGCCGATGTCAAGGACGGCGCAAGGACTTTGAGAACGATATTGTTGTCGAATTGTGCGCGGGGGGCGAAAACGTGTGGGTTCCTTTAGACACCGGGGCGAGATCAATCTGGATTGATCGATCTTGGTTTGAGGGAATAGGGGGGTCGTGGGTGCCAGCTGACGCATCGGCTACAGCCGTAGAAGGACATGAGATTGCCGTCTGCGGGAAGGGCAAGCTCAAGTTCGAACTCTGGGGCACCACTTTCGTGGAACCGGTGCTGGTGGCTGAAAACATTCCCAGTAAACTACTGATTGGAAGCGAGTTCTGGCGTCGATACGGACTCGTGCTAGACCTGCGTACACTCCGCGGGAGGATCTGGGTCTCAGGGAGGAGTATCCAGGGAAACGTTGCCAAAATGACGACGAAGCACACAGGAACGGAACAAATGGCGATAATCAGCGATGGTGATGTCGAGGATGCCATAAGAGACATGGACTTGTCTCAGTTCCATGCGAAGCGAGAGGTGCAAGAGAAGCTTCGTGAAATACTGTGGTCTCGCCGTGCGGTCTTCAAGGGACTCGGCAGGATAAGAGGTGTGCAGCACGAGATCAAACTGATAGAGGACACAAAACCCGTTTGCTGCCCTGTTAGACGACGTTCGCCGCGGGAAGAGGAGGTAGAGAGGGCAGAAATGGGAAAACTGCTCAAGATGGGGGTCGTGGAGCCCGCGGCCTCGCCATGGGCCGCGTGCAACGTCTTCGTGAAGAAGAAAGACGGCACAATGCGTGTCACCTCGGATTTTCGCGAACTCAACGCAATGACCGTCACGGACACATATCCGATGGAGGATGTCCGCGCTACCCTCGATTGGATGGGTACGAAAAGCATATTTTCGACGTTCGACCTGAAGGACGGTTTCTTTCAGATCGAGCTGCAAGACGCCTCCCGTGATTGTACCGCTATCCGCACCGTGATCGGACTACTGCGCTACGTCCGTCTTCCCCAGGGAATGAAAAACTCCCCGGCCGCATTCCAGCGTGTTGTAAATCTTATTCTCGGCGGCAGGAAGGGATTAGACATCTGGGCGTTTATGGATGATGTCAGTCTGGGGACGGCTACTGTGGAGGAGCACCTTCGCTCGGTGGACTCAGCGTTGGAGACCTTCTACGAGGCCGGCGCAAGGCTGAAGTTGTCAAAATGCCAATTTGGCGTGCGCACGGCTGTAATTCTGGGACACAAGATCGACCGAGATGGCATCAAGCCCTCAGATGCGCATGTAGAAGCAATTAGGCGCCTCGTGGAGCCGGGAGGAGGAGAAGAGCTTATGCGGTTCCTAGGGTTGATGAATTTTTTCTCGGGTTTCATCGACCACTTTTCCGAAATTGCTCGGCCCCTCCATGAAGTCCTTGTTGGCACCGGGTTCAACAAAAAAAAGGGAAGGGGGCAGCGGTTGGTAATCTCAGATTGGGGTAGGCGCTGGGGCGCCCGACAGCGCAGAGCATGGAAGGACCTCAAGGCAGTCCTCAGTGACCCCGACTTTCTCAAAGCACCCAGGCAAGGCGCGAGCAAGAAACTGATGACGGATGCAAGCGTTTATGGCATCGGGGGGGTCTTGCTACAGGAAGGGGAGGACAAAAGGTGGTACCCCGTGGCATTCACAAGCCGTAAACTTTCAGATGCCAAAAAGAAGTTCACAGTCACTGAGCGAGAGTGCCTCGCCGTCGTACATGCGTTGCGTAAATGGAGGTTCTACCTACATGGGGAGAGGGGCGTTGTCGTAGTCACGGATCATTGCTCCCTCAAGTGGCTCATGAGCCTAAGGGATCCACGAGGTAGATTGGCACGTTGGATGGTCGACATACAAGATTTTGACTTCACGGTCAAATACGCCCCCGGGGGGGACCTCGTCGTCCCAGACACCCTCAGCAGGGACGCGGTCGAGAAACCACTTTGCGCACGCTGTTTCCGGGAGATGGAGGATCCCGGGACCGTTCAAGGAGACGCAGAGGCGCTGTGCACGCTCCTGAACATCACAGGACTGGGTGGGGGGCCTTCACCGGAGGACTTCCGTACAGAACAGCTGGCCGAGTTTGGCGATATCAAGGACTACGCCTGGAAGAGGCGAGGTCTTGGATATGCTGTGGATGAGGAGGGACTGTTGCGGAGGACGAGGGCTGGGAGAGAGCTGATTGTAGTACCTCCGAAGCTAGTTGACGCAGTGCTCGACCAGGTTCATGGGTCCAAGCTAAGCGGTCACTACGGAGTCAGGCGAACTACGGATCGCCTGAGCAATTATTTTTGGTGGTCGGGCTGGAGAAAGGACCTGCAGCAAAGGGTTATGTGCTGCGTGGCTTGTACCGCAGCGAAAGCCACCAAGCCCCAAAAGCATGCCAAGATGGTCGTGTACCACCCACGTAGACGCTTCGAGCAGGTGGCAGTTGACGTCCAGACGGTTACCCCAAGGACAGCCGCGGGATGTGTGAAGATTTTGGTAATGATCGACACGTTCACCCGGTTTGCTCGCGCGCTGCCCATACCCGATGAACGGGCTGACACAGTGGCCAGGGTCATTTTGGATGAGTGGGTGTCAATATTTGGGCCTATGGAGTCCATGCTCTCGGATCGAGGACCAAACCTCATCGGCAACGTCGTCAGAGAAATGGCAAGACAACTCGGTGTCCGTCGCGTTCTCACCTCTCCACTTCACCCTCAAGCCAACGGGTGCGTGGAGCGCTGGAAACGAACACTGGTGCAAGACCTAGCCTGCTTCTTCAGCACAGGGACTGAGGACTGGGACTCGCATGTGGCACTCGCTTGTTTCCGGTACAACACGAGTG